CTGTACCTCAACAAGCGCGCCGCCGGCGAGGACCCCGACCTGCGCCACCGCGCCGCCCTGGCGCGCGACCTGGCCGCGCTGCTCGACCGCCTCGGCCTGCGCGGCGAGCACTGCGTCCGCCGTACGCTGTGCGACCTCCGCCGGACCGACGGGCGCGACGGCAAGCCCGGCATCGTGCACCGGCTGCTGCAGACGCTCCTCCTGTGAGTACGGGTGGACACGCAACGGTGTGAATGTCGCACACTTGGAGGCTAGGCTAGGTATACATACTCTTAATTCTGCCGAATTCAAATCAATTCAATTAAATTCAACACAATAATTCAGAAATAATTCATACCAATTCAATAAAATAAAAGTCAAAATAATTCAAACCAATTCAAAAACAATTTAACTAATTCAGTCCAATTCAAATTCGAATCATAAAATTTGTTCATCCAACTCAGGAGTTATCTACCCCTTGCTTTGAGATGTGTGGGAATGCCCTCATCGTAATTTTACGACACGCGTTTTGGAGAAAAAACATCCGTCAAACCTGAAATTATTTTTTCCGCTGTGGTTTAATTATTTTGTGCAGTCCACCTGTCATGCTTACTAGTGTTCCTTGTTCGCCATCGTCACAGGCCCACCGGGGGCAGCGCGGTGCAGAGGACGCCGTCGGCGGGGCCCGAGGAGGACCCCGAGGATGCGGAGGACCCCGCCTGCCGGCGCGCGCGCACGCTCTGCCCAGCCTCCATCCTGGACCTGCCGATCGCACCCGTCATCATCCCTCACGACGAAAATAAACGAACAGAAAACATTACAAAAAAAAAAAAAAAAAAAAAAAAAAAACTGTCTGAGCTTTTGAAGTGCTTTTGATATGCGTTTTCTGATTATCGTCCCCCTGATGGGTTTCCACCTGCGATGCGCGCGGGCACAATGGAGCAGACATGGAGATGACAGCTATTCAATCATCAGAACCGTCGGAACAACGACAACAACAGAGTTTCGGAGTAAACGAGAGGAGGGGAGGGGAAAAAAATGTGTGGAGCGCGCAAATGCGAGGCAATCAAGGACGGCGGCGCAAACGGGGGTAA